TGTCAGGATTAGGGTCAATGTCAGGATTAGGGTCAATGTCAGGATTAGGGTAAATGTCAGGATTAAGGTAAATATCCGGATTATGGTCAATGTCAGGATTAGGGTCAATGTCAGGATTAGGGTAAATGTCAGGATTAGGGTAAATGTCAGGATTAGGGTCAATGTCGGGATTAGGGTAAATATCAGGATTAGGGTAAATGTCAGGATTAGGGTAAATATCAGGATCAGGGTAAATGTCAGGATTAGGGTCAATGTCAGGATTAGGGTAAATGTCAGGATTAGGGTCACTGTCAGGATTAGGGTAAATGTCAGGAGCGTTGATGTTGATGTAAAGTTCTAACATGTGTCTAATTAAAAACTTGTGTGTCTGCGTGAGCAGGGAATATTTGGAGGTTCACCAGGCAGAGATGGAGCTCCTGTCTTTGCAGCAGAGAGAAACCAAGAGGAACTCTAGACTGGTGAGAAAAACTGGACCAAACTATCCTGTTCTGAATTTCTGGAACCTGTCATCTGCTGTCCTGGTTTTAATCATACGTTTCCTCCATTTCCAGGGGTTCCTCTATGATCTGGAGAAGGTAAAATGTTTTCTCACTTCATCAATAAACTTAGTATATGTGGAATATATTATATTGTATATTTGGATGAAAATAAAGATAGTAACAACATAACTAGCATGAAATCTCTGCTTTCACAGGAGATTAGAGCGTTGGAGCGATACATCCGACGATTAGAGTTTCAAATCAGCAAGGTGAATTACAGCCTTCAATCCTAAACATCTCCCTTTAGGACCTGAAAGACCCGCATGAAGAACCTTCTCCCCTGTTGAGTCACAGGGATTCAGCAGAGATCTGTGTCTCTCTGCAGGTGGAGGAGTTATACGAGACCTACTGCATCCAGTGGAAGCTGTGTCAGGGAGCGGTGAACATGAAGAGGGCCTTCTCCCTGTCTCCATCCACCAGAGCCTCCAGAGAGAGTCTGCTGGAGCTCAGCCGCAACCATCAGCACAGCCTGCAGGTACTCACACCACAGGCAGGCTTTGCGTTGGGTTCAGTAGAGGCTGGCCATTAGAGGGCGCCGCCCCACCATCCCACCCATTGACCCTGTTTAAGGAATTAAAACATTTGTGAGTCCACATGCATAAAACATTGAATCCGTTCCCCCATTACATGGGAAAAAAGTAAACAAATCCTGAGAATTTCTAAACTGTGTTTTTTCTATATTATGTTTGAAACATTTATTGTTTTATATTTTAAAATAAATCTCACTGTTGGTTTGATGATCTTTATGAGATGTATTCTCAATTCAAATTGTCAGGAGTAGCATTGCTGCAGACATTTGGTTTAAACTTTTTTTGGAATATTTGTAAATTGTTAAATAAACATTTAAATAGAAAATACATTTTATAAAGATCATCAAAGGGGGAACGGATTATATCAGATGGCTAAAGTATATGGTTTTCCTCTCATAACTCTGGCAAATAATGATCAAATGTCACCAAATCCACAGAGTTTGTTGTTGATGAAGAGAGGAATAAACACAGTTAAAGACTTGATGGTGAATTAATTTAATCCCATGTTATGGAGGAGGAACAGATTATTTCAGGCTGTTGAAATATGCCATTCTCTCCTCTCCTGCCCCCATATCTTAAATAAAGAGAAACTATTTCCAGATTTTTTTTTAAGTTGTTATGTGTGATATAATGTAGTATACTAGAAATATCCTTAATCCAGTAATCTGTCATATTTTACATTAGAACGGGATTTAGCAGAAAGTCTAAACTCTCATCTTTTCAGGAACTCTTAATATTTGTGTCCTGCTATCAGACAGTTTATCATCAGCAAATTATTGATGATTTTTTTTCCCTTAACGCAGCTGTAAAAAGAGAAAGATGATTGTTTCTCTTGGACTTCCTTGACCCGTCCGCACTCTTCTCTGCAGGACATGTCCACCATGGAGGGAGATTTAGAGGTCCTCCTCGGAGAGCTGCACATCAAAATGAAGGGTAGGGCCTGAAGCAGCGGATCGCTTTTACATCAGCTTCTCTCAGGCCTCCAGATTAACTTCGGTTTTCACTTTGCAGGGCTGATCGGCTTCGCTCGGCTCTGCCCTGGAGACCAATATGAGGTGAGTTTCTCTCAGAAAGACGGAGCATTTCAACATTTAGGTCTCCCAGGGTTTAACGGTGAAAACAGTGCTCCATGCGGGGAAGAGGCGCAGGGCTTGAATTTCCTGTAACTCCCTCAACAACAGGAGTGACTCAGATCGGAGCTCTGATTGGTAAACTAGATGCAGAAGAGGATGAGGCTGTGGAGACCGAAGGGGTAAACACCCATAGAGCACAATCAATAAGAAAACAAAAAATAAGACAATTTCAGACAATTTCAAAGCCTGGAAATTTAATTTTGTTTTAAAAAAGGAAAGAATAAAAATGCCTTTTGTTGTCTCTCAGAGGTAAATTCAAATCTATCAATAAAGGGTAATTTTTTTTTATATTATTGTTGCAAATAAAGACCATGTTTTAAAGATATAACTTTCAAATGAATGTAAATCAAAAAAGAAACTTTGAAAAACTTTATTTTAAGAGTAATTTGTTCAGTTTAGTTTTGTTCACATTTCATTTTGTTTCAAATTTCCTTTTTTCAGATTAAATTTCATAAATGCATTCTTTTCAAATTCCATTCAGATGATCAAAATATCTTTAAGCCTGATATAAACTCTTGACCAATTAAAATATTGCTCCTGATGTCCAGCGAACCAATTAAAACCATTTCCCACTGGAAGAATCCAGTCATCCAGGATAATCAATGGATCATTATTTATACCTGAAACTAAGACATTTGCGGTGATTTAATTGAATTTATCGTTAATCAGTAATTAAAT